GTTTGCCTTGGTCATGAACTGAGCCACTTTTGAAGAATGACCAACTTTTGGCATACGTCAATTCTATTGAATCTGACTTCTTACCTGCTCTTTGGGATCTTTGGTTTGTGTTTTGCCGAATAAACCCATATTGTTTGTCCTTATTGAATTTGCAAATCTTTTATTTATGTTATCCCCAATAATTTTTTTAAAGTTTTCCAAAATGACTCATTTACGAAAGTTCTGTGAGACCAACAGAAATTGTTTGTGTCATCAAAATGTCAATTTGTTTATTCTGACTTCACACTACGCAACTGCGCAGCAGTGTTGCCATGATAATAATTTCCTGCAAAATTCGTTGGGCCATGTAGTCTATTTGTGGAATATCGGAGTAATCACATAAGTGGTTGTTGTTGTTGTTGTAGCAGCATACAAATTCCCCAAAGACTTTTTGGGGAGTGTTGCTGGAGTGACAGTCCTTGGCCAGATATAAATCTGGGTCGTTCCGGTTACGTAGACCCGACTGTCGTGGGAACGTTACATAAGTGGTTGTATGTCATGCTGTAGCAGACCAACATAAACATTTCACGTCCGGCTGTAGCGGAACGTGTTAAGAAACTCGCTGTGGTTGCTCCCAGCATGTTCGGGTTCGAATGCCGTCAGAGGTAATTTTTTATTTTTGTTTTTGGTTTTTATTGATTGCGAAAAGGCATTTGTGAAGTGAAGAACAAAAACGTGTACAGACGAAAAATATATATCAACAATGCCGCTGTTAGTATGTTGGAGTAGTTTTGTGCTACTCTGATGTAATGCAGAGATGCAGTATATGGTCCTGCCCTAGGACATAGCATTTTTAATTGGACCATATTTTTTATATGAATAGTCGCGATTCTTGTAGGATTTTGAGGCTAGATTTATTTATTTATTTTTCTCCATGAAACATTTTTTTTTATATTTAAATATCGAAAATGTCGACACAACCGATGTACTATCAATAGTTTTGATTAAAAGAATTAACGTTAAAATTTGTTAGTGTTTGGCCGAGCTTCTTCTCCGACTTGTGGCATGCGCCTTGCGTTTTACGCCGTTTCCGAACGGCGATTATATTTTTATGAGAAGCTGTTTTTCCTGGCAGAAATACACTCGGAGGTTTGCCATTGCCTGCCGAGGGACGACCGCTGTTAAGAAAAATCGTTTTCTTCATTTTTTGCGATGTTGCTTTGACCAGGGCTTGAACCCAGGTGCTGATGAGTGAAAGCGCGGACTGCTTACCACTACACCACAGCGGCCGACAATAAAAAAGTAATAATTTAGAAAAAATTATGGGAAATGTTTAGTAGCGCTCACACCGTTTTTGGAGTGGGGGGCGGAGGGGGAGGGGGCGGGCCCCCCAAACCCCCCCAATAGAAAGGAGACAGTCGCCGCTTTCTAAAAAGGGGTACCCCCCCTTGGACTCGTCCCACAGGCACCTAGGGAACCGTTTGAAAAAGGGAGAAAAACGGAATTTTCTTAGGCAAACTGAGCAGTTTGAAGTGGAATATGACCCAACTAACAGAAACCGTGGGATTTTTTAATAAAAGAAATTATGCCAAATTAGATATGGGGGGATTTTGAATAAAGAATAAAAAGTT